TATAAGTATTTTATAAATAGTCGACTTTTCGACTTTTCGACTTTTTCGACTTTTTCCGACTTTTTTCGACTTTTCGATTTTTTCGACTTTTTGACTATTTTCGACTTCTTTCTACTTTTTTCCGACTATTTTTTGACTTTTTTCAAGTTTTTCCGACTATTTTAGAGTTTTTGACTTTTTTTCCACTTTTTTAAAATTTTTGACTATTTTTGACTTGTTTCTACAATTTTCGACTTTTCGACTTTTTTCGACTTTTTTCGACTTTTTAGGACTTTTTTCGACTTTCTTCGACTTTTTTCGACTTTATTCGAGTTTTTTCGACTTATCGACTTTTTTCGACTTTTATTCACAAAGTCGACTTTTCGACTTTTTTCGATAAAAAGTCGATTGTTCGATTATTCGAAAGTCGATTTATAGAACCCTAGTATAAACCAGCCATCAAGTCTGATAAAGTTTAAAAAGACAGACTAATAATTAAAATCTTGTGCGATTTATAATTTTTACGGAAGTATTGCATTTTGGTGATTCGTGATTTGAAGGCATAAATAGCATTAAGACTTGGGGAATGCCAATTAAATTAAGAAGTAATATAAGTTTTACCAATAGAGTTTAATTTAAAATTAATGAATCAACCTTTTCGATCAATAGAAAATCTGCAATAACAGATTTAAGAACATTTTAAATTTTCGTATTTTCTTCCCAGGCAAAAACGTTATAATTCCCTTATAAATAATGCATTTAAGTGTTTCTTTAATTCAAATATCTTATCAATCTAAATACTATTTTTAATTTCAAAATATTATTTAAAAAAAAGTAAATTTTTTATTCTTTATCAATGGAAATTCCAAATTGTTTATCTGTATATAAATATTTACATCTATAGAGATTAAAATTAATCGAACAAAAAGTCATAAAAATGCAATTTATTAAATCTAGCGAAAACAATTGCCAATTTTTGAGGAAATAAATACTTCAATTAATAATGCAATTGAAAGATAATCTAATAAAATAAAATTGCAAAATGTCTAGGACATTTTTGCGAAATGCGTTGTTGTTTTATCATTTAGTAAATAATTGGTATTTTTAATTGTAATTGTATTATTATGAAAAACAATTATCTAAGAAGTTTAATTTCAAAATGCTAAGAAATTGTCAATAAATTTTTAAAAACCTTTTGGTTTTGTTGCAATAGGATTTGATTGCATACTTCTGTATTTAAGAACTAACAAAAAAAGAAAAATGTTACTAATTAATGTGGTACTTTATATCATTAAAGTTTATTTGAATATTGTAATTGTACTTTGTTTGAATTTGCACACTTTATTTCTCTTTAAATAGTAGTACATACATTTATTTATATATTATTACGTTGACTGTATAAATAAATTAGTAAATAAATATTGATAGTATTCATATGTATATATAAGATTGTCTAACAAATATATGAATTGATTTATTTCAATTTAATCGTATATTAATTCCCCCTTAAAGGCAGATAATTAAAACTATGTATTCAATTATAAATAACATTTAAGGAACGTTTACAAAAAACAACTTTTTTGTTACAAGCTTTTGTAATTTAAAATTCATGAAAATTTTTAGGCTCAAAAATAAAACAAAAAATATATTTTTATAAACACTCATTCATGATTGATGCAAAATTATTACGTTTTGTAGCTTCTCCTCTAAAATTTTCTGAAAAGGACTTGTCATGTCCTTTTCAAAATTCAATTTCATATTTTTATATAAATTAAAAAAATAAAGAAACATACATTTTATCCCGTTTTATAACAATTTTATAAGAGCAAGAAAAATTACTTTATAAATAACATTTTCTTCTAAGTTCAATCTGAAAGAATTAATTAATTTTTCATAATAAAAAAAAAACAAGATTTTAAAATTCAAAATAATTAAATTTCATTAATTATTTAGCAATAAATTCTTTTAATTACTGCTTCAACTATGATACATTAATTGTATAAACAATTTATTTAGAATTTTATATGAATTTATACAATTTTTTTGTAGAAATTTTGTTGCTGAGTAAGAATCTACTTTTCCGAATTAATAATGTGTCGTCAGTGATGATGGGTGGTGTTGGATTTTAATTGTTTGAATTTTTATCAATACTTGTCAGTCATTCAGTCAGTCATTTACTTATTTATAAACATATATTTAACATACACAATTTTATAAATAAAAAAAAAACAACAAAATCTATTTAATTTTTGATAAGAATACAGTCAGTAGTGTTACTCTTAAAGGCTACAACTACACTTGAAAAGAATCTTCATATTGTTTTGAAAATGTTTGTAATTCAATTGAAACTGAAACATTTGGGAACTTTAAATTGTTTAGTTCTTTAAATAGATGACTAATAATAATTCATTGACATTTGCGCGTAAATGTATTTTTTCCATTCTTTTAATGAATGGAAGAATGTGTGAATGTATCGTGTGCGAGGAACTATATACAAGCAACAAGTGTTTCTTTTAACAAAAAATTTTTATGAAAAGTTCACCTTAGTTCCGAGTTGTCTAATACATAATATTCGTCATTTGTAATGTAAACATTATATTATCTTATTATCATCATCATTTTGCTTTAGCGCTTAGCAACTAATGAAAAATTATTTTAGTTTTTTATAAAATTGATTATCATCTAAAAATTAAGCAAAAACACGTTTTGCAATTGTAATAATCTACATTTATTGATTTTGTTTAAAAATATTTACATAATTTTAACTTTTAAATGTCTAAAGGTACGTTCACACCTATCAAATATTTAATGAAAATAACGTAATACCTAAGAAATTGACATTTTGATTTCCCTTTGATTTCACTTGAATCGTCGTTATTTGCTATCACAAAAATCATGTAAGATCGTAAAATCATGTACAAATCCCCTTCTGTTCTACAAAATAATATAGATCTGATCACTCCTTGGCTTAGTACTATTTACAAGGCCTGTATTTATTGGTCCTACATACCTTCGCAGTGGACCAAGTGTAACGGGTAAGACATCACACACAAAGCCAAAAAGTCTAGCGTCATTCTTGCTTAAAACTCTGCAGTGAATAATAGATTTCAAAGTTAGATTATCGATTGACAAAACTCTGCTCTCAAACTCTCAGCATGCCTATATGAAGGGGAAATCTGTTGAGACGGCATTACATTCCCTGATTGGGTTTTAAAACGGTTGCATACGCTGACGATGTTGCAGTAGCGGTAAGTACGCATCTTGAGACCTTGTCTCAGAGGTTAGAAGAAGCGCTGAAGATAATAAGCTCACTGAGCGTAAACTGTGCTGATATCTTGGCGAAAGGATAGCCATACCGGATATAGTCCAGTTCTGCGGCGTCCAATTGCGGCCATTAAGAAACAAATACACAACATTTATTTTAGTTCAGCTCAATATCGGTGGTCTCAAGAACATACTTCCTCGATCGCTAAGATCGATCCCATAAGACATCCTATATATAAGGGCTTAGCAGAATACATCTGAGCACTATGTTATTGGTCATTCCAAGTTGGGAAATCATGCAAGACGCATTGGTCTTCCATACAATGCCTTTTGTAGGAGCTTTAAAAATGAAGAGGAGGAAACAATTACTCATCTTTTGTGTAATTGCCCGGCCTTTAAATCGATTCGACATCAGGCAATAGGGTCGCCATACTTTTCTGATCTATCAGATCTGTCAACTGTTCAACCTGAACGTATTCTTGCATTCCTAAAATTGTCGAAGTGGGTGTGTAATTAATCACACACTATGTTCTCTACTTCTCTATAGGCTGGTTACCATCTTTATTCTTCACTCCTTCAATATTGTCTTTACTGTCTCTATCGCTATTTTTCTCCTTCTAAATCTTGTTGCTTTCCAAACGTTACAAGGCATACAGTCTGCAGAAAATAAAACATTCGCCTTCACCAAATCTTAGCAAATGTTTTAGCAAATACTATTTCTTTTCTTTAGAAAACAAACACACGGATATTACTAAATCGACGCACAAAATTAAATTATGGAATTTACAAATGAAATGACAAACTTATAAATAAACCTTCACACGAAGTTCAAAACAAACAATTTTTTCAACTATAAATTTTGAGTATTTTAAAATCGATTAACTGTGCTAATTAGTTAGTCAATACTTCCAAATTTATTTTTTTTTTTACAAAATTAATCATCAACTAGTATAATTTAGTTATTATAATGTAACTAATTATTTTTAATTAATATAATTATTCAAACAAATTCTAGACGTAACTTTATTTACTTTTACGTTTTCAGGTGTTTTCCCTTTTATTATTTTTTTTAAATAAACAAAAGTTTTGCCTTAAAGCAGCTTATACCAGTATTTCGAATAAATTTTTTTAAATATTTCTCTTTTATGTTGTGTATAAAAACTTTTTGTAGTTATGTATTTATTATTTTAAATTTTAAGATTAACTGTTTTTTTAAATCATTACTGGCGTCTGCTTTTAACTGCGTCAATACTTTTGTTTTTATTTACTTGCTTATTTTGTTATTATTGTTTTTTTAAATAATAAATATTTTTTTTATTTTGTTGCATTTAAGTTTAAACTTTTTATTTTTGTTATGAAATCTTTTCAAGGTTTTCATATTTAAAAATACTGTAGACAAAAACAAAAACATATTTCACCTTCAACCTTTAAAACTGAACTCGACTTAGTGTAGGTCGCTAATTGATCTTTTTTACGAATGTTAAGTAACGAAAGGGGAATTCACAAATTCTTTGCTATAACTATGTCATTATATTTATTACGTATAATAAGAATTGTTTTATCTAAAGAATTTTAAATAGATGAGTAACTGAGATTTTGTTTAAACAAAAATATTTGATTTTTATAAAACAAAATAAATGCTAATTTATACAAGTAAATTCTTGGTATTATTTTATAATTTTTAGATTTTTGCTGAATAATGAATTTTTACTTTTTTATTTATATGTAGAGTTATAAATTAAAATAGCAACACTTACCACAATGCGCAAGATCAATGATGGGTACCAAACTTTTGGCCAGCAGTGTATCAACTTTATCATCATTTGTTTTGGTTTTCAACATTTTGTATAAATTTATTTCTGTTTTGAACTTGTATGTGTTTTAATTTTCTCTGTTGTGACTGTTATTAACAGTTGATTGGTTTGATTTTTGCCTAAAAAAATAACAATAATGAAAAATTTTAAAGTTAATTGATATTTAATTGTTTGTATTTTTTTTTTTAATTTTATTTTAATTATTTCTACGCTTTTTTAAGAACTGAAATACAAAAAGAAATAATTTAAATTATAATTATACAAATAGTCTTCTGTATTTAAATATAATTTCAGTTTTGTTTACATTTTTAAAATTTTTCGAAAATTCGAACTTATGTTCGAAGATTTTTTAAATATGTTAAAAAATTCAAATAAATATTATACATTAGTTAAATATTATTTTTTAAATGTTAATGAATTTTAAAGAATTTTTATTGTAGCTTTAGGATATGTACCAAAAGTAACTTTTAAATTTAAACATCATTTGCAAAGATTAACTAAATTAAATTAATGATTTTCTAAAATTGCAAACAAATTAAATAACATTTAAACAACAAAACACTTTGAGATAAAAACTTTAATATTCAATCTTAATCTCAGGTTAAAAATTCCAAAAATATAATATTCCATTGAATTACATTTAACATGAACTGCAATATTTTTAGAAATTTTTTGACACAGACGTAAAATTTTATAAATCGGAGGGAAATACCCCTGCAATGACATGAGTCACTTTAAATAAATACTCATTTTCATGCAGCTTTCACATGAAAGCCTTTCTTTGTAAATTAGTAAATAAATTTTTAGTCAGAAACAACAAATATTTAGTTAAAATTAATATGAAACATAAATATTTAAAAGCTTAAAAATACATTGAACTGGTTTATTAAAACAATATAAAAATGTAAACGAATTTTAAGAATTTCAACCACAACGTTTGTTTTTGCTAAAGATAAACTTTAATTTTTTTTAAATAAATAATCACTTTTTGTATTTCAAAATTTTGTTTGTTAAAATAACGTAAATTTTATTTAATTTGACGCACTTGCAAAATTTGTTTGTTTATTTTTGTAACAATAAGTAAACGAAAATTTAAAAAAAATGCAATTTTCTTCTTTAGTTTAAAACAATTTTTTTATCAAGAAATTTTTATTTTACAAAATACACGATATAAATATATACTTTTTTTACGTTAATCAATTCAAAAAAATATATAAAAAGAGTATTTTTGGTTAAATTAAAAAAAAAAACGTTCTATAACGTTCAATGTTCTTGTGATAACTAAACCTGTATGAATACAAATTACCTACGTCAACCTCATAGAAACTGAAATGAAATCTTTGCTCCCCCTGTTTGTTTTTGTGGCTTATAATAGAGACCCCTAACACCGCCAACTTAATGATACAGTAGAAATTAAATGAAAATAACAATAAGAAGCAGCACTAATAACAACAGCAAAATACACAAAAAAGAAAAAGAAAATTACAATGATCTATTTACTTATCGTTCGATCACTCTCAATTTGATTAGATTATCATTTGTTCAATGATGATGTGAGTACAATACACTCACTATTCATTTACACAATAAATAAATGAAAGGGCACCCTATAGGTGAGAATCGTATTGTTTTCTTATAAAAAAAAAAAAAACAAATAAAAAAAATAACTAAAGCAAATTTTTATTTTCATTTATCTTTAAAAAAAACCCAAAAATTTTTAATCTAAGAACAAAATACATATTTTTTCTTATCTTTAATTTTTTTTATTATTTTTGGTTATTGTTATTATTTTTAATAAAATTTTGACTCACTTAAATTTTCTACTAAAATAACCGTTTTCATTTTTTGTTTTTAACTAATGGTGAGTATTTTTTATCACCTTTATTTGCTACACACATGAGTTTATGAATTAATTGTTAGTTTTTTTAGGTAGAGGGGGGTTTTTGTGTTTTGCAATAATACACCACCTTTTTAACAGTAGGTATATATGTATGTAGTCATTTATGTTTTAAGTTAAAGAAATTTAGATTTTTTTATTATAATTTCCATTTTGTTGTGTTTTATAGTATTTAGATTTCAGCACTACACGCGCTTGCTATACAATTAGTTACAGGTTTAATCGAAAAATTGTGATAAGCAAATTAGCACTAGTAGTTGAAGTAGTTGTCAAAAAATAAAAATAATAGTTCAAATTACACAGCAATTTTTTTTGTTTTTGCTCAAAAGGGTGTTATCAGTGTTGCCAATTGGTTTTTGATTATGAAATTTTGAAATTGTTGAATTTCGGTTTGTTATTGTTTAAGAAAAAGCTGGGAGAGAATAGAGAAATAGGAAAATGAGAGATCATAGTGCAATTAATAACAAATATACCGAATGACAATTAAAATACAAATATAGTCCTTAGATTCGATCCTCAGAAAGAAAAATTACTTGAGTTTTTTTTATTAAAATTTTTGTTCTAAAGTAAAGTTTACTAAGTAAACTAATCTAAATTTTAGATTTGGTGTAAAATTATAAAATGTATTAAAATTTTCAACGGTACATTGAACTTTCACAGAAGGATTATAAAAAAATTTACATACTAGCTAAATTTGCCTTTGTCAAAGGTTTTTTTTTTTTTGCCAAATTAAGCATCATATTTCAAAGGCATAAAACTTGTCGACAGACACAAAATAATTTGTTTTATCAAAAGGAAATCTATCGATTTCAAAATGTGACATACCAGAACAATCATAATTATAAACATATCGTCGGTAAAAACACGAAAGTTTATTAATGTTTATTATCATTTTATTAAATAGTAAAGTTTTAATTGAATTAAAAAATACTTTATTTTTAAGTTAAACATTTTAACACTAAACTGATTGATTTTAATTTAGGTTGACATTTTTAAATTAGTTCCAAAGTTAAAGAAAGTTTACTTAGTAAACTAATCTAAATTTTAGATTTGATGTAAAACTATAAAATTTATTAAAATTTTCAACGGTACATTGAACTTTCACAGAAGGATTATAAAAAAATTTACATACTTGCTAAATTTGCCTTTGTCAAAGGTTTTTTTTTTTTTTGCCAAATTAGGCATCATATTTCAAAGGCGTAAAACTTGTCGACAGACACAAAATAATTTGTTTTATCAAAAGGAAATCTATCGATTTCAAAATGTGACATACCACAACAATCATAATTATGAACATATCGTCGGTAAAAACACGAAAGTTTATTAAAGTTTATTATCATTTTATTAAATAGTAAAGTTTTAATTGAATTAAAAAATACTTTATTTTTAACACTAAAGTGATTGATTTTAATTTAGGTTGACATTTTTAATTTAGTTCCAAAGTTAAAGAAATTTTGCATTCATGTCCCCTCACGGACTCTCTGCTATCCCTATTCTTCTCTCCTTCTTATAGGTTTATTTACAAAGGGATCATTACTGGACTTAAGTAAGGCTATAACTCGGATGTTCGATGCAGCCACCTGTCAAACCTAAAACCTAGTTCCAAGGTTGTTCTTTCAGAATCTAAAGTGGTGCTTCTTGTACTCGATCTAGAAGTAGTTGTTTTTAGAATAAGTTCTGACTTTTTTCTGAATTGAAAAGTATATTCAGAATATAAATAAAAAAATCGCAAACGGAATGCCTATTTGAGGAATTAAAATTAGTCTTTCTTTTCAAAACTATTTAAATTGTTACTTTTACTCTATTTTCTTTTGTTTAAGCCCTTTTACATTTCCGATAGCGTCATAAATATATACATATATAGTACATATTTCTTTTATTAACCACTTTAACAGGTAGTTTGTTGATACATTGAACTCACGCATTTTATTACTACTACTCATCGTAAATTCTTACAACTGTAACGATATATGTACATAAATATGTATATACATATACATATACATACATATGTAAGTATATATTGGCAGACAATGTGTGTCAACGATTCAACGGATTTAATTTTGGGTGTCTCTGATAAACATTCTGGTTTATTGCACAAAAATAATGTCCGTGTATGTCTGACAGTAGAGTATACACACATCTTGTGAAGAAACAGCAAAACGGATCAACAACCTCTATGATTGAAATTTATGTACAATGAAACAGCAACAATAAAACAAGCAGGTGGTATTGTAGAATCAATATAAATACTCGTATGGACAAACATGAATATATAAAATTTATATTATAAATATGTATGGATGTATGTACGTACATATTTGCGTTAAGGAAAAATGTTTCGAAACATCCATTTAATTGAATAGATACACATATTAACAACTAACTTTCTGCATATGGTAGTAAGACATTTAGAAATTGATCAATGATTATTTTGCTTGTACAATGAACTTATCAAGAAATCTTAAGTAGTAAGAAGAAATTTTGCAGAATTTTTACAGTAAATACTAGGGGAAAATGATGAAACTTTTTCAGTACCTTAATGTAATTTTTATCGATTTGTGTAAGTTCTTATTTGCTGCGATGTTGTGCAAAATTTTTCAAAGGGAATCTTTAAATGCTCATTAAAGTAAAGGTTTTGAAATATTACATATCGCTCATTTAACTGAGGGCTATAGTTTATGCCTAATACTCAAATGTCTTCAAATAAGGCTATTATTTTCGATGTTTTTTTGTAAACGTAAAAACTAAAACTCATGTTTTCACGAATATTAGATAGATAAAAATTAAATTTAATTTAAATCTGAAACATATTAACCTCTACTATCTGTATCCCAGCAAAAAAAGTGAGTAAAAAGAAGTAGAATTTTCACCACAAATAACATACTTGAAGTACTTCCAATTTTGGTGAAAAACCTATGAATTTTACATTAGCGTGTCATTGGAGGGATGTGTTTTATTTTTGACATCCAATATCGGATTTTTACTGCATCTATGAATAAGATTAGATGTAGTTCAAAGTTGTCAAAAATGAAAACATCCCTCCAATGACACGCTAATGTAAAATTCATAGGTTTTTCACCAAAATTGGAAGTACTTCAAGTATGTTATTTGTGGTGAAAATTCTACTTCTTTTTACTCACTTTTTTTGCTGGGATACAGATAGTAGAGGTTAATATGTTTCAGATTTAAATTAAATTTAATTTTTATCTATCTAATATTCGTGAAAACATGAGTTTTAGTTTTTACGTTTACAAAAAACATCGAAAATAATAGCCTTATTTGAAGACATTTGAGTATTAGGCATAAACTATAGCCCTCAGTTAAATGAGCGATATGTAATATTTCAAAACCTTTACTTTAATGAGCATTTAAAGATTCCCTTTGAAAAATTTTGCACAACATCGCAGCAAATAAGAACTTACACAAATCGATAAAAATTACATTAAGGTACTGAAAAGTTTCATCATTTTCCCCTAGTATTTACTGTAAAAATTCTGCAAAATTTCTTCTTACTACTTAAGATTTCTTGATAAGTTCATTGTACAAGCAAAATAATCATTGATCAATTTCTAAATGTCTTACTACCATATGCAGAAAGTTAGTTGTTAATATGTGTATCTATTCAATTAAATGGATGTTTCGAAACATTTTTCCTTAACGCAAATATGTACGTACATACATCCATACATATTATAATATAAATTTTATATATTCATGTTTGTCCATACGAGTATTTATATTGATTCTACAATACCACCTGCTTGTTTTATTGTTGCTGTTTCATTGTACATAAATTTCAATCATAGAGGTTGTTGATCCGTTTTGCTGTTTCTTCACAAGATGTGTGTATACTCTACTGTCAGACATACACGGACATTATTTTTGTGCAATAAACCAGAATGTTTATCAGAGACACCCAAAATTAAATCCGTTGAATCGTTGACACACATTGTCTGCCAATATATACTTACATATGTATGTATATGTATGTATATACATATTTATGTACATATATCGTTACAGTTGTAAGAATTTACGATGAGTAGTAGTAATAAAATGCGTGAGTTCAATGTATCAACAAACTACCTGTTAAAGTGGTTAATAAAAGAAATATGTACTATATATGTATATATTTATGACGCTATCGGAAATGTAAAAGGGCTTAAACAAAAGAAAATAGAGTAAAAGTAACAATTTAAATAGTTTTGAAAAGAAAGACTAATTTTAATTCCTCAAATAGGCATTCCGTTTGCGATTTTTTTATTTATATTCTGAATATACTTTTCAATTCAGAAAAAAGTCAGAACTTATTCTAAAAACAACTACTTCTAGATCGAGTACAAGAAGCACCACTTTAGATTCTGAAAGAACAACCTTGGAACT